GGTCGGGCTCCGGCGCTTCGGTTTTCTGGCACTGGGGGACTCTGTCTCCGGAGGAGGTTGTTCGTCGCTCTGAGGCTCGGGTTTATCGGATTCGTCGAGCAGGACATTGTTTAGATACTTCGCGCCATCCCATGAAACACGCCGCCCTTTCTTCTGCTGCTCCTGCGGAAGGGCACAGTTCCCGTCTGCCGTTCTCCCCCGATGTTTCTGCGGACGGTGCCGTAAGGCAGGCGGCGAAGGGACATTGTGCGTTTCATCACTGTTAATGTGTGTGTTGACAGTGAGCTTGCGGGCGGGTTTCAGCTCCTGATATGATTTCTCTTCCAAACTTGTGCGCGGGTTCTGGCGCCACTGGTCCACGTCCGTGAGCGACAGTCGCTTAACCTGCTGGTTAGGAAGTCTCAACTCCAGCGCAGTCAGCTGGCCATTCCCAAGGCGCGATGAGGGAGTTTGGGGAGTCCCATTTGCAGGCACAGTATGTTGGGGTGTCCGTTGTTGAGTTAAATTTGGCCTAGGTTTATTTGAGTATGGCTGGGTCTCATCCCAACCCGGCTTTGGCGATCGGGACTCGGGACGGGTGTCCATATGATCTGAATCCGGGCCGAGCGAACTGGGAGAGCGTCGTAGAGGTAACCACTCGATCATCCTCAGCGATAAGGTATCGAACAAGTTCTGGGTGAATGACTTCGGGTCTTTCATTCGTTGTGTTGCAGGTGCCTCCTCCGGTGTAACCGCCGACTGGTCCTGAGATTCCACACATGGAGACAAACTCCGACCATTTCGATCATTAGTACTGGGAGACTTGACGTTCCGAACCGACGATGACCTTAGCACCCCGTCCACACCAGTATGGTCTCCACTTCGTGGCTCGGTACATTCTCTCGCAGGCTCATTCGAAGGCAAAGCACGGCTTCGTCGTTTCGATCGGCGTTGATACTCGTGCGGTGAAAGCTCATGAGGAACCCGAGAGAGGTTGCGACACAAGCCGTCCTCCGCGTTATCCAAGCTAGCCAAATAGCAAGCCAGTGTGCGGGCGCTCAGCTCAGTATACCGACGAAAAGGCCCCTCGGTCACGCGTTTTCGATAGCTAGCGCAAGTTGGCGTCTGACAGCCAGGATCCTGACAGCCGTAGAGGAGTTGGTTCTTGTACCTAGAAGCGTTCCCGTCAGCGGGGCCAGCGCATGCACGGCGTCATCGAGAAGACGTTACCTGCGGACCAGGAGGTTAAACTGGCGACGGCGTTCATCCCTGCACCATAAAAGAACCTGCGCAGGGTCGGAGATGTCCACGGTATTTTGAGCGATCACGTCGGGTGCGTTGGGAGGTAGTTTGGAGCGGTGGAACTGGGGTCGGTCGATGCCTCCGTGCGAAACCTCATACGAGCTCACGGAAGCTCCGCGGAGCCTGGTCATCTTGACAGACTGCGGAGCATGCCGCAGCTAGCTAACGAGGCGAGATAGTAGTAGCTGAACGAACCTCCCTTTCTATTTGTAGGTCTGCGCAGCGAAGATAGGGGTCAAACTCAAGGTGAAGATGGGTATGTGACTCGTTATTTCTGGGGTCTGGGGTTCTTGCGAGGCTGATATCACGAGCATTCGGGGGGGGCCTCAGGCCCAAGACAAGCTCGGGTGATGAGTCAGCCGGTGGGAACATCAGGGAAGACGCCAGTCCCGATTCGGATAGTCCCTTCTGGTTGCTTGTGATCACAGTCGCTTACTTGTACTCTCCGACCTCCCTACAGGCTATCATGAGCCATGGTGGGCCCTGTCCTACAACGGGTTCCGATAAACTTTAGTAGCAATGATGAATTTCGAATCTATTCTGTCATGACTGGGCTATGAACGCCATTACAGAGTACTACAAGACAGATCTTGCCGGTGAAGCAAGGGAGGCATCTCCACGACACAAGCCTGCTATTGACTGGTTTGTGATAAGGAGGACGCCCATTGTTGACCCTTACAGGCCATAAGTACATGAGTAACACTAGGACCAATATTTGCTTGTCAGAGTAATAGTACTATACTGTGTAACCCCCAAATCTCTCAACCCTGTCATAATGAGCTGCTACACTCGATAGTTTCCATCTAGACCTATAGCATGACGAAAACGGATTGATACTTTAGTGGTACTCATAAAATTTCTTCATTTCTCACATCATCAAGCATACAATCAAACAACAAGATAAAGTGAAGCTAAATACAGTACCCAAAACACCCCTGCATTCGCATGATAACATGGGGAAAACCTCGAAAGGATAAAAACCCATGTTGAGGCATCTGGCCGAAGACACAACACATTTAGCTACTAGGAATAGTAGCACCATGACTTTCGAGATATTCCCGGCACTTCTCAGTCGTGTTATTGAATTGTCTCGTCCACTTGTACTCGACCTGGTTCGTGATAGCGTCGACAGTAGTGGTACCCGAACCATCCAATTCAGTTGGGCTCGAAAACCACTCCATAGCATGAATCTCAACATATCCATCCACATGAGTAGGCGAGTAGTTGTTATAGCCGCCAACCCGACTCAGTTCAGCCCACGCATCGTTGATGAACCACATCCACGTCCTGAACCGGTATACCTTCTGGTAGAGATAAGCGGTCGTTCCCGCTGGGACGGTGATCTCCTCGGCATACGTCTTGCTGTCGGTCGTTTCAGTCTGGGAAAAGGTCTTGGTGGAAGCTCCAATTCCAACACTGAGGCCTTTGAATTCGAGTCCAAGGTTGGCGTTCAATTCCTTCTCGGTGCCTTCCGTGACCTTGAGCTCGGTGGTATAGGACACAGTGACTTTGTCTTCGCCGGCGGTGTCATTCTTGAGAGACGACACCAGGCTCCAGTAATATCCATCAGAGTGAATGTCGGTAATTGCATATAAGCTTTGATCTCCCGCGATACTGTAGAGGGTTTTTTTGACCTCGCCGACTAGATCAGTCCCGTTGACCTTTAACTCGCGGTGATCGTAGCCGGCACCGGATCTCCAGGGGATGCCAGGCATTTTGGACTCTATAATGATCATCAGCAAGATAGTTGGAACCTCGAGACAACTGACTACATACTTTGAAGTGGTAAGGTAAAGAGTTTGGTTGATCTTGTTTAAACAGTTCAGACAATTGAAGAAAGCGACTTCCTAGAGGAATGAATAGAGACTTTGCGATGCTCTGGAGATGAGTCGACATTCACCGGGGCACGTCGCGATATTTAAGTCCAGCAATTCAACAGCCACTTGAGTGATTGTACCTCAACAGCCATCGCCTTACGACTCCGAGGTTTCCATCATCTTCAGCTCCTCTCACAAATTACTTCGGTGACCCCGAATCAAAGCCCGATAATCCCACGGCGTAGTTTGGTACAGACAACGCCACAGTCGAATACTATTCCAACCTAGTCGCACCGTTCACAGCTCAAAGTCCGAGGACTTACCATCACGAAGACAAATAGCTGATGCAACGGGCTGAATTGGTTTCCCTACCCTGCAATTGCGTTATTTGTATCTCAAATCCCGATGTCTCCGCAGCAATATAAGCGATGCAGATACCCCAGCCCTCTGATGCACATGACCTACCATTACGTTGTCTGAAGGTGGCAATTTGGCCCTCTTCGCACGATTTGCCCTGACCGGCACTAATGCAGCCGCGGTGTTGGATTGGAGGTTAGTGTATCACTAACCGTAACCGACTCAACTACTAACTAGACATAAAGCTGGACATCTCAGCTGCGGGGCTAATCAAAGGATATATTTTCCACTCCCAATAAACAGCCGCTTGAATCCGGAACATATATTAAACGCTTGCGCGGCTGGAGGAGAGGTTGTCTGGAGTCCGTGCGAGGTATGTTCAGCTCAAATCAGCACTACTAGTTTAGTGTTATGCCGGTGATAGTATGTGATCCTGACTGGTGTACGCATGTCAATAACTAGGAGATCTTCTCTACTCCCGATGGCTTGAGACCTATTGTCACCTGCCTGATTTGGGCACATGCGCGTAAATCTGCTAATCAGGTCTGCATCACACTAGATTTAATAGAAGTAGTACTATGATGTTAATATTCCCAGCGTCAACTCCCTGAGGCGGAAGGTAGTATTCGGTGCTTTATGGATACGTAATGTTGAAGACTAGTCGGCTGAAGCAATAGGAGGATCCCAGCTCCAGACTCAAGCAATGTCGGGATTAGGATCTAGGTTGATGCATCTATCACTTACATGGGCTGGGCCGGGTAATTGAAAGAGTAGAGGCGTAGTATCCCGCCCATTCTAGTAAAGCACCAGCCTGGACCTGCCTTTAATGTATTGTCTCCCATATCCTGTCTGGTCCAAGAGCGATTACGCCTAGCGCCGTGGCAAGAAGTCACTGATACTATAGCAGGTGGAAGCCGGGAGGCCGATACATGAAGCCATACCATATTTTCCCCGTCTTAGGAAGGTGATGCGAGCGGGGAGGCATTATAGATGGTGGCGTGTCTGTTACATGATCATCCAGGAGATGAATGGCACTTGGCTCGCATTACCCGGGAATTATGATCTGAAAAGCGTGACTCGGAGCCACCACCAGCCTGGGCTTGTCAAGCACTGTAAGCTGTCATTCCATCAATTACCCGGTGAACAAGATCCTAGTAGGAGACTGTGTCCCTACAGTGCAGACACTTCATGATCCAGAGCCTCACTGCTAGCCCGGTGCTACGCCCTCATCATTCCCGTGCGTCCGGATTAGGCGGGAGATATAATGTGTGGCCTGTTAGCATTTATGAGGGGTTATCAACATAAAGGTTTTGAGCAGGGAAAGGTAGCTACTTAGTACGAAAAGAATGCCATGTTGGAGCAAGGATTGGGTCCCTGCCTGCTCTGCATCTCCAACTTATTCGTTCCACTTGAAAGATGGATTTTTATTAGTATACTTCTAGCCCAGACAGTACAACTTCAACATCCAGTCCTCACCCTCCTACCTAGGCCCCTCAATCACTGTCTTAATCCCCTTCCCCCGTCTGGCAGCCTCCCACGCCTCCTTCATTCAAGTGAAACACTCCGCACGTCCACCGACTGCAGCACTGCATTTCCGCCAGTTACCTCCAAGGCCAGGCCATCAGAACTGTCACTCGGGAAGATGAGGTCGGAAATGACGGCTTCTCCTTGTCCGCCAAAAACCTCTACAGAACACGTATCCACCAACACCCGGATGGAAACCAGTCCGGTGTCGTCCTCTTCCAACTTGGCGGTATGGACGCCACTTGCGGCCGGGTCATACGAGGTATCTCCACTCTCTGTTCGATCAACCGACAATGTGGCATCTGACTGGGTGTACTTAATGACTGTTTGCTCCGAAGCACCCTTTCGGACGGCGAGGGACAGAACCGAGCCAGCATCAGGGTAGAAAGCAACTCGAACATCGAGAGCAGTTCCCCGAATCGATGATAGCAATGTTTGGCCAGGGGTAATGGTCTGGTTTTCTAGTGTTTGCAGACTGGTACTAATTGTGTCCAACTCTGTGATCGGCTGTTGAACAAAGTGCTGCTGCGTCCCAACTTTCTTGAGCGACAGCGTCCGGGGAAAGGAGAGCATCCCTTTCCAGGTGGTTGTAGGCGGGTTGGAACCGTAGCTATTCATGACGGCGGCGATAATCCGCCGTCCATCGGACGCAGGCACGTTCACCCAGCTCAGAGCGCCATCGAAATCACGCCCATTGTTCAGCCACATGGTCGAAGCATCGACGGGATCTGCCGTAAAACTTTTCCCGTCAAAAGAACCGGTGATAGCTAAGACCCCGTTACCACCGGCAGGGGATCCTTCAGCCGGCGTCATCATCACCACCCACGTGGTCTCCTCAGTGCCTTCAACCGGGAGTTCAAACATGTCGGGGACTTCCCACCCTGTAATATCGGACGATAGGCCGTTGATCGAGGTGGACTTCAGGTCACTCTGCCATGTCCAGTTTATGGTGTCTGCAGACGTCCAGAAAGACAGCTTGTCCTGCCCGCCATGGGCGAGAACCATGATCCAGTTCCCCGATTGGCGATGGAAGAATACCTTTGGATCCCGACTCTCGAGGCCGCCCGTTATATCATGTGGTGCTTCCTGGCTTGTTGATATGATGGGGTTGCCTTGAAATTTGGTCCACGTCGCCCCGTTATCGACACTGAAAGCCAGGCGCTGGTCCTGTGTTTGGCTTGAAACGGTATAACCTGTGAACCAGGCCAGGTAGGGTGGGTTTGCCGAATCCCCAAGGCCAGAGGCATTGTTTGGATCATAATAGGCTGTACCGGTAAACGCTTCGACTCCGTTCTCATCCGCAATGGCAGTGGGTTTGTGTGCCCAGTGCATCAGATCGGTGCTCGTAGCGTGCCCCCAGCATATGTTGCCCCATACATTGGCCGTCGGATTGTGTTGAAAGAACAGGTGCCAGGTGGATCCGATCTTAATCAGGCCGTTTGGCTCGTTCATCCAGTACTGGTCCGGTGTGAAGTGGTATGAAGGACGGTAATCATTAGACTGCGCCTGGCTGGGCAACGTTAAACCCAGGCACGTCATCCAGACCATGTAGGCAACCTTCGGATTCAACATCTTGGAGTAACAAAGCAAAACGAACAATTTGGTATTCTTGAATTCCACTTCTCTGAGAGACCTGTGAGTGGCAGAAAAGTAAAGCCGTCTACTGGCACGGAAAAGCGAGCTATATAAATATCATGGCCAAGACGCCTTTCATTTCCCCAAACTGATAGTCGCATGCCCAGCGTTGACTTTCCCCGAAATTTCTCCCGGATCCTTGTCCGTCATATAAGCCCTTCACAGTTAATAGAGGTATGCCTATACCGAAGTGATGTTTGCTCGCCCCTGCAGGTCTTTATAAAGGGAAGGACAACGCGATCCGTGTCAGGGAGAGCGTGAGGCCGAGACTTCTATCGAAGGGTAGTGGTGGACAAACAAGACCGATTCATCCGGAGAGATCACTAATCATCGGAGAGATCACTAATTTCTCACTCAAGGAATGTGAGGAGTCGAACGAGCGAACGCGATTGGTAAAAAGGTGGAGATGCAAGGTGAGATTCCGGGTACCGAGAGTGGTTTGCTATATTCACGGGATCGGGAGTTGTCAAGCAGCTCCGCGAAGCGGCCCTTCGCCCGTGACGAGTCGGCCGGTCTGGAATCAATCAAGGTATCAGCAACAGAGACCATATGTAGGTTGTCTATGCGAGAGTACCTCTGCATAATCCGAGCTATGGCGGGTTATGATGCCGTGTTTTCGAGTCTAGTCCGGTGCGAATACGAGTATACGAGTACAGAGGAATCAATCAGGCGCTGAATAGCTCCAACCAACAATGCTTGTAGTGGCATTTTGTTGAGACATTTACCAAGTAGACCAAAAGAGAAATCTCTCTAGTGGCTACTGGTATCTCTCGGTTTTTGTTCCAACACATTTCACCACTCATCTTGGGTTTGTCACAAAAGAAGAAGTAGAACGGCCGTCTCCGCGATCTTCGCAAGCCGGCCAGGCCAGTCCTTAGGTTGCGATCAGGAAAGTTTTGGTACCAGTCTTCCTATGGGACTGGAGGTTGTAGATGACCAGGTTAGCGGCGTTGTACGTGGTCCAGGGGCTAGACCATCGTCAACACTGTAGGCGATGTCTGGGATTGCTGGTTCTCCCGGATGGTCTCCCCACTCGGCAGGGTCTGCGCAACAGGGTACTGTGGAGAGAAAGTGAGCTAGTTATCTCCACCACAGTATCTACTTTCTCGTGGGTGAGCTTACTGCAGAAGTATACATGGCGACGATGGGGGTGGGGGGGGGCTTCCCGTCCTTCCCAAAGCCATTGACTGGTATTGTTCACATCAATGACTGCACTTCCGCTGAAGTACCTTCCGGTGATTTCGCCGCCATATCCCCGAGCAAGTAAACGTAGTTATTTCGGCGGTGCTCTGTTTATCGGACTGAACGAAACATGGTTGTAGTTAAGCGCCTCCATCATGACTAAACAATGCTTGGCGGTTGCAAAGCATACATAATCGGCTGCAGGAGTGGTCATTTTCGGCGTCAATTTCCCAGGTCCTCATATTATAGCCGTCATACGAAGCTTTGTACAGATATAGACCGCGGATTCTGATACAGTAGCTGCCAGTCAATTAAACTAGATAATTCTTGTAATTCATTTTAAATATATTATAGAGTTATTATTTAAGATTATCAATACTATCATTGACAAGATACTATAAACTCGGGCCTCTGTCGGCCGAGGGTAAGTAATTGCATGATAACACTGACGTTCGTCGAAGCGCGCAGTCTTTTAGTCACAAATATACCGTTTTTATTTTGTCTATTGAGCAGCACATATAACACCCTTTACCAACTTGAACCATGCTCGAGGCTGCGTACTTTATATAACGAAAGAAGCGACCCACTCGCTCCACCCCTTAGCCTAATGAGATTTATGGCTTTTGGCCCACATTGGTCCGCCGAATTACCATTTTAGATCAAAACGCGAGATTTTAACTTTCACCACATGGATCCAGGCCCTCTATGGTCGGTGACAGAGATCTTCTATGGTCTTTGAGGAGCAAAGCAACACAGAAGGATAAAGATGCCTAGTTACCCGACAAGCCATTTTCCAAGAACCTCAGTGTAGCACCATAACGAAGCGCTGTCGGGGTAGCTGTCCAGCGGCCGGCCGTGCTCCAATATTCTGCTAGGTTAATGCCCTGGTTTAATGTCTCGAGATTTGCTGTGGTAGCTCTTTATCTATTTAGTTCTTTTTTAGCTTCACTTCTTTACTCTGATTAAAGGACTTTACTGGATGCAGGTACATTTCAAACATCCCACACTTGATACATGTCGGCAACGAAACTACCACTTCAAAGCCATGCCTATTTTTTAATGCTTCAAATTTGCCAGTCCTCTGCATTGTCAGTGACCAACGCAGCTCCTGAAACATAATCGAATGATTCTACTTCATTCGTATTCGGAAACCCTTCAAGTCCTTCAAAGATATCCATATCAAACGACGTCGCATCAAAAAGCATTTGAAGAGAAGGGTCAACGGCAAGTGTATCGAGACGCGTGCCTGCATTATCATAATCCACTGGCAATTGTGTCGTGCCCGGGACATTCGTCGTCGAGGAAACCTCCCCAACCGCAGGAGGCGTAGATTGCGACTGATACATAATCCGATCAAGAACTTCCAAGCACCGCGTTGCAGCCTGGTTCTTCCGGCTCAAATTAGCCAGACAGTCACGCGATCTCTCGATGGACGATATCCAGAGCTGCTGGTTTGCCACTGCCAAACCTCGATCCAATGGCTCCTTTGGTCGGAGATGATAGATACTGAGCACGATGGATGCCTGGAAGAGGAAGTATGTCGCGTACCAGCATAGGCCGACGTGGAGTGTATCCGGATAGTCAATACAAAAGGTAGTGATATCCTGGATACACTCTACGGCAGCATAGTGACACATATTGCGGGCTTCTTCGCTGTCTTGCAGTGAACCGCACAGGCGTTGAGTCCCCCACCACAGCATCATTCGCAGGTTCTGTTCCTTCCAACTTACTATTGCTCGAGGTCCACGGAACCATGTCGGGACATCGTGGGCCGTGAAGTAGTGGGGCAGTGAGAGTCTCCAGGTCTTGAGCTGGTGATCGAGAGATCGTGGAGTCTTTAAATCAATGTCCCTTTTCGGACCTGCTATCACGTTACAGTATATCATGTTTCCAATGCGTGATAATCGGGCCTGTGCTATGATCGCAGAGTATGTGGTCGGTTTGTCGATGGGGTCTGGGACTGTGGAATCTAATGTGGAAGCCTGATGGTGACAAGTTAGCGAACGTCTCCTCTCGCCCATATTCATTTTTTTCATTACGTACCGAGTCTTCGATGTTGCGTGGAAGCTGGGTTTCGATGAAACAATCCGATGACATCAATGGCCTTCCTGTGGTCAGACTGAATCCGCTGTCAAATGAATAAACAATCCACCACACGACTCTTCTTCTTTCGGTAGCCAAGGTGTCGAGCGTCGACTCCCTTACTGGTTCACGATGGAGGCCCAGTCCAAGGGCCATTCGATATGCTATTCCAATGAAGTTGTATCCGGTATTTGGTCGATCCCGTTTCTGGAGAAAGTTTCCCTTCGTCACTTAGTATTTGCTCGCGATACGCACAAGATATGCATCACGTCAACTCACCATCAGAAGAAAAGCTTGAACCGTGAGAAGTGCACCTGACTCCAGCAGACTCATTGACATGGACGACCGTGCAGCCATGTAATATCTCGACTCCTCGACTTTGGAGCCACCGGATACGACCCAGTCACCGATCGCCAGAACGATGTAGAATATCAAGTGCCATGTGGAGTGAGCTGGGATATGATGCCGATTCTGGTACTTCTCTCTGAACGTCTTTTCATGTAGGATGGGAAATGACTTGTTATACGACATAAAATATGCGTCAAATAAGGAATCCGTGAGGATAGTATTATCTATGTCTCTCAACAACTGGGGTCTCCCCATTTTTGCTGAATATGCAGGGAGTCGTTCTTTTCGAGCAGCCAGGGGAACAGGATGCTCGGGTAGTAGATCCGAAATGGTCTCCAGAATACAGGACCCAGAAGTGTTTCCTAGCGAACATCATTAACTTCGATCATAGAAGTCCTCAAGCCACTAACCTAGGTAACCAGATCCAGACCCTTCGGTTGGTAGTGATGCCATTCCATCGAGTGACTTGTTTGGGGGATGAGACGAGGTCAGTGGACCCTCGTTCCATTCGTAATTCTCCAATGAGGTCGGACTTTTCCCATCAGGGCTCTCGCACATTGGACTTTCGTTAGCAGTTCCATTATCATCACGTCCTTCACCAGCCACTGGCAATGCGTTCAATGCTTCTTCAACGTCGACATTCGGGTTCAGATTCCGGACAAGGGTCATCAGCTTCTCGCAAAGGCGCTCCTTTTCTTCAAGATTTCTACATATACTGAGATCATCATCTTATAGTACAGTACTGGGAGTTCACACTTACTTGCGAGTCAATGGCGTGCGTGATGGTGCATGCTCAAAGCGACATAGCTTCTTAGTCCTCGAGCAGTACGAGCATGGGGCGGTTCCAGAACACTTGATTGTATACCATTAGTATGGATATCACTAGCGATACGAGGATTGGTCACCGGGTCATACCTTGCTCTTTCGTCTCTTTGAAGCAAGTTTGTACTCGATTAGCCATCGGGATATCCGTCAAGTATATGTCGGGTCACTCTTACCCGGCATTCTACACACTACTCACTGTCAGTCTACCGCCAGGCTCCCTACTAATGTAGAAGACTTACTGCCCGAAGCTCCTGTACCTCTGATTTTAGTCTCGTCCGTTTCGCCATACTGGTGTTTGATTTGTGGCAAGATTATTGTTACATCAACATAAGGTTTGTCCTCTAGTGATCGTTGTGGTCGGCCCGCAGTCGTCCGGAAAGACCCCGCTGGATCGATCCACGCAAGTTAGCTTCTGATCTAGTAACGTCAAATAGATGCTGTTTCTGAGAGCTTATCTTGACGCTTTAAGAGGCTTAAATAGGGTCTATTCTGATATCTGACATTAGTACAAAAAGCCTCCCGCTCTGCCAATGCCTGGTAGCCCTGAATAGCCCTGGGAATTCAGTGTGATGTAAGCCTAGATGCGGTTCTCTGACAGTTCATTTCGCCGGTCCAACATTGAATATCTGTCACCTGGCTCACTAAGATATGCTCTGGTAAATACTCACTTTCTAGAACAAAAGACCCCTGGTGCTAAGCGTCGCAGTCATATTTTTGTTGAGAGGCCCGAACGGTGCAGTTGCAATGTGATTGGCCGAAATCGCGACGCTCAATCGAGAGGATAAAGAAATCGTGCGTCAGCACTAGTGATAGTGGCCGTTGCTCAGGCATCATGCGATCGGGAAGTGTGTTTTCTTTCCGGGGGATGGAAATCACAAATCATATCCAGCCCATCAGAATTGCATGATATTCGAAATCGCTGGGTTGATTGCTAGATTAGCGCCGTGCAACGCCGCAGAGTTACTACTAGATTTCAGAAGTTAGGAATCAGTCCAATGGCAGTCCCGGGGCTTACGCACGGAAACCACGAAGGATTCACTAATCAGACTCCCCCCAGTAAGAAACCCATGAAATCCAGGGGGTTTAAAAGGCGCGACTGCCCGGCCTGGCACTCATTCAAACTTTCCGAGCTACTTATCTTCTCCACCGTTTCAGGCACCGCGTTGTTGTCCGGCACGGTCGCATAGCGCACAGCTCGCCAATTGCAGGAGCTCGTGTCCGCATTATCTATATTCTTGTGCTTGACAGCTCCGGTCGGCAAGCGGCGGAATCCAATCGGCCTGCGTGTACAGCTCGCAAGGTTCACACAACATGGAGGCCAACTCGCACAGCTTCGCGTCGCCGCTCGCTAGCGTTCGAGCCAGCAACTTGCCCATTCCCTCCCAATTCGAGACTGTCGTTGATGCCGTTAGCAATGCGAGCCCATGGACTATCGCATTTACCATTCTGGCAGTCCTTGTCGCTTATGACCAGAGTATGTCACTTGATCACTAAATATGATTCACTGGTTCGATTCTAAGACGGCTTGCTTTTTAGTCATATACCTCATAAACAAAGGCAACATTGTCGGCCCAGCCTTCAAGATACCCTTCATTGGACCATTCTTGGAATCGGTCAACCCTAAATTCGAGGAATACTACGCCAAATGGACAAGCGGCCCGCTCAGTTGCGTGTCCGTCTTTCACAAGTTCGTACCCCCGGTGCGTACAGATCCGTTAGCATAGACTAAACTAACAAATACCGGCTCAGGTTCGTTGTGATTGCCTCGACCCGAGATTTGGCCAGGAAAGTGTTCAACTCTCCAACCTATGTAAAGCCCTGCGTCGTGGATGTCGCTCATAAGCTCCTGGGAAAGGAGAACTTTGTCTTTATGGATGGAAAGCCACATGTGGATTTCCGCAAGGGTCTCAACGGTCTGTTCACAAAAAAAGCATTGCAGTCTTATCTCCCTGGCCAGGAGGATGTATACAATCAGTACTTCGAGCGCTTCCTTGGCATTACGCAAAAAGCTGGCGGCAAACCAGTGCCCTTTATGCCCGAGTTTCGCGAATTGATGTGCGCCGTGTCGCTCCGCACATTCTGCGGCTATTATATCTCGGACGAGGCTGTGAAGAAGATCTCTGATGACTATTACCTGATCACAGAGGCAATGGAACTGGTTAACTTTCCTATTATTCTGCCTTTCACCAAGGCATGGTACGGTAAGAAGGCGAGTGATATGGTCATGGCCGAGTTTTGCCAGGCTAGTGCGAAGAGCAAAGTCTGTATGGCAGCCGGCAAAGAACCCACATGCATTATGGACGCGTGGGTCAAGAATATCCTAGCCTCAAAGCAATGGGTCGAAGCAGAAGCCAAGGGACAGTTAGCGGAGAACATGGAGAAGCCATCTCCTCTGCTACGTGATTTCGCCGATTGGGAGATCGCTCAGACAGTTCTCGCATTTTTGTTCGCCTCTCAGGATGCTACCAGCAGCGCAGCCACCTGGCTCTTTCAAACAATGGCACAACGCCCCGACGTGCTCGATCGAGTCCGCGAGGAGAATTATAAGGTCCGCAACGGTAACGTCCATGCTGAGGTTGACATGGACCAGCTCGAGTCCATGACCTATACCCGTGCGGTCGTCAGGGAGCTTCTGCGGTACCGACCTCCCGTGATCATGGTGCCATATGTGGCCAAGAAGCCGTTCCCAATTACCGATTCCTACACGGTTCCAAAGGGTGAGCTATCTGCAATCAGCTATGGATCTTAACCAATGCTTACTATTAACAGGGGCGATGGTTATCCCGACCACGTACCTTGCCCTCCGGGACGAGGAGGTATACGAGAAGCCTGACGAATTCGATCCCGAGCGTTATTATACCGGGGATGCTGAGGAGAAGGGGAAGAATAACTATCTGGTGTTTGGAACGGGTCCACATGTGTGCATTGGACAGCACTATGCGCAGCTCAATCTGGTGCTGCTCATCGGCAAAGCCTCGTTGCTGCTGGACTGGAAGCATCACGCGACCCCGCTATCGGAGGAGATTAAGGTCTTCGCAACCATCTTTCCTAAGGTAGGTTACCGGTGACGAATAAAGAATGAAAGTATACTAACTGTCTGTTAGGATGACTGCCCGTTAACGTTCAACAAGAGGAAGTGGTAAAGCACGGGGATGAATAATGGAAAAGGAGGAGGGGCGGATGCTAACTAAGGCCCGTTTGACTCGCTTGTACAGAACTTACAATACTTGTACACATACATTGAAGGCCAGCTTAATTTTTCAGCTGCCTAGTCCCGCAATTTCTGCTTTGCAAGAGTTTTGATTCTACTGTTCACAAACAATCGAGATTTAGTTGGCTTTGTCCCGCTTCTTGCCTATAGAAACGGATCATCGCGCCATGGAAGCGACTACAGATAGACCTTCATTCTCGCCAGTCAGTCTGCTGAACAATCGATACGCGTAGTGCTTCCCATCACAAGCAGCGTTTTAATGTAAACCTCAAACTTTTGACAATCTCAGATCTTTATTGTAGTAGCATTCTATAAGCCCTGATATTACTCCGTTAAGTAAGTATCCCAAGACCAGACCAAGAATTAGAAAACCAGGCCTCCACCTATCCACCAAAGAGAGCTGTGTTAGCTACTATCCCATAACAGCTCCTCCAACAACGGGAAAAAAGGAAATATGGCATACCATCGACCACAATATCTGCCCCATTTATATAGCTCCCTCCAACATCACTGCACAAAAGCACCACCGGCCCCGTCATCTCCTGTGGCGACCCCATACGCCGCATGGGATTGCGGTCAGCCCACACCGCGCGATGGCCGGACAGCTGGTCGCCCTCGTTCAGAACCGTATCCATATACCCAGGCGAAATGGAGTTGACGTGAATGCCATACTGCGCCCATTCAGCAGCGAGGCAATTCTTCATATGTAAGATCCCGGCCTTGGAGACATTGTATGCTAGCTGAGGCTGGGGGTAGTTAACGCGGTGGCCGCTGATAGAGGCGATGAAGATAATTTTACCGCCTGTTTTGCGGGAAATCATGTGTCTGGTTTGGAGTTATCATGAGTTGATTGAAGTACAAGTCTAAGTGGACTTACCGGGCAACAGTCTGCGCGATAATCCAGCTTCCTGTTGTGTTTACGTCTTGCATTCTCTTGTAATCTTCTAGGCTCATGTCAACTGATGGAACGCAGTTGACTATTCCTGCGAAGCAGCATAAGATTCGGAGATCGCCTAGACGGTCTATGGCTGATTGAACTGCGGATTGGACTTCTGCTTCGATGGTCACGTTGCAGGGTATAGTTACGATGTTGGCGTTGGGGAAATTATGCTGTATGGCTGATATATACTCTTTGCTCCTTGTGAGGGATGTGGATAGGTCGAGGAGAGCTAATCCTTGTAGACCGTGCTCGAGCAGTGCTCTTGCTGATGTGAGTGCTAAAGCGCCGGCGCCGCCGGTGACTGTACTGTGTCTTAGTCCATTCGCCTTTTCTTTTGACTAAGAGAGCGAAGAGAATAGGCTGAATGAAATGACATACAGATGGCATTTCCCTTCACTGCGAATCTTTGTCTCGCGTTGTCGGCTGCACTGTTGCCCGGCGGAAAAGGCGCAGGGGGCGGCGTGAGAGACGACTGAGGATCGAGCTCTCCTAGACGCATCCAAGGAATTGCGGGGGTTTCTGAGTTGGAACCCATAGTGATTAAAGTGGTTTGTTATACTAGTTTGTACCTAGGTGATGCCTGGGGTTAGATGATGTCGATCGGGACGACAGTTGAGTGGACGTTTAAATTCTTGATTTCAAATAGCTAATCCAAGAAGGCGAATGATGTGTGTTGGTTCTAGCGTCCCCATTTATCGGAGACAGTATGAAGCATTCTCTGCTTGAACCTACTGTTTCTCGGATACCTGTCGACCGATGGCGGTTGAGATGCTCTGGTTCAACCCCAGTGAAGGCACCGGGCTAAGCTCCGAGTGGGATGAATGCGGGGACTCCGGCGGGATGCGGAGGATGTCCGATTATGTCCGATCTGGCCACTAATGCAATGCTTCGGCTGTCTGTTGTCCGAGGCCTGTTCTGCCTTTCTTTTCTCATTGGAATGAAGTTAACAGACTCTCCATAAATGTTTAGCAGCTTGGAATGGGCGGAGTCAGAAGCAGATGATCAAAGAAGGAACCAAAGCGCCACTTTGAATCGAATGTTGGTTCGACGCTTGTGTACTAAAGCAACCCCAGATAGGCCGTTGATTCGAGGACTAGGTCGGACCACAGTTAACCGAACAGACATAGCATCATGATAGTCTATCCCCTGACTCTTTTGAAAGGGTGGGGCAAGTAATCTCAGGTTTAATGGACCAGTATTTGTTGGTGCAACCCCGCCATCTCTGGTCGCGTGGAGTGAAAGAAGAGAAACAGCAACGTCCAAGGTAGAGACCGTTCCAAGGAGGACATCTTTAAGGAGCATCTTCCAGTCTTAGAATTGCCAAACTTCAGCTTTTGAGATTCTTGTCTGGACCGGTCTTGAAATCTTCGCATTTGCTGCGGTTGTCTATTACCTTCGTTCAACATGTCTATGAACGTAGCCGAGTGTGCCCCAATCCGTGAGGGATTTCCTCGCCCGTTCCCAAATACGCCAACAAATGTATTGGCGCAGATGCGTCTGAGCGGAAAGGTTGTCGTTATCACAGGAGCTGCAGATGGTATCGGCTACGCAGTGGCTGAAGCCATGGCTGAGGCTAATGCCGATATTGCCATGTGGTACAACTCGTAAGCCATGCCATTCTTCCATCGGAAAAAAAGATTCCACATCTAACGAAGTCACGATAGCAATGATGCAGCCGTCGGGAAAGCGCAGGGTCTGGCATCTACTCATGGGATCAGAGCTACGGCTTACAAGGTCGACGGTGGGGAACAGTTGTCATTCGTCATGAAAGGCGTGGAATGCTAATTAGCCCAGTTTCTGATGCGGATGCCGTTCAGCAAGCAATTGCAGATGTCGCCAAAGACTTTGGCAAGATTGATGTGTTTATTGCAAATGCTGGTACAAACGGACTTGGCACCGAAGAGATTATCTAAGTCGCTAATATTGTACATAGGGATGGCTATTTCTAAGCCCCTCCTGGAGCAGACACTGGAAGAATATCGGAAGCAGATGTCGGTCAATGGTAAGGTGTGCTTCCTTCTTGGTAGTAGACTAGGTGCTAATGATGGTGTATAGTTGATGGCGTTCTCTACTGCGCCAAATATGTTGGAGAGGTGTTCAAACAACAAGGCTTTGGTAATCTGATCATCACCTCTAGCATGAGTGGTCACATTGTTAATGTGCCCGTTGATCAACCCGTCTACAATGGCAGCAAGGCCTTCGTCACGCACCTTGGGAAATCGCTTGCTCGCGAGTGGAGAGAGTTCGCCCGCGTTAACATTGTCTCTCCTGGCTTTTTCGATACCAAGATGGGTGCCAGTCCGCAGACGGTCAACGAGGCCTATCGGATGGCGCCGCTGGGAAGGCAGGGCCATGTAAAGGAAATCAAGGGGTTGTATCTGTATCTTGCCAGTGATGCGTCGACATACATGACTGGCAGTGATGTCCTCATTGACGGTGGATACGTGCTACCATGAGCTACTAAGTAAACATGGTGCCGTTTCGCTGCTAGTATTGACGGTTCATACATTACACGGGATGCCTTGTGATAGACTAGTAGCAGGTGCTCCTCAGTGTTTGATATATATATTGTTGGCTGGACCACCATGATTCGAATGACAGAAGCACAACAGCCTGATGACTCCTCACATTAATTGAGCTACAGCAGAGACCCTACTAGAAACATTACATAGAGTAATCTACCATGGGTATTTGCGAAGACAAATGCCAGTTCAAAATAAACGAAGCAGAAGATGAAAAGAGAACTCGCCAGCCTTCGTGCATAAATTGAGATAATGACTAATATAGTACATAGTACAGTGAATAACTAATGGGCGGGCACGTGCATTGAACGTCATTGGGCCCAAAGCGGCAAGGCGGCGCAAATCTCGGTGATTATCAATAATTAATTCTGCTTCGGCGCTGAGGGGCAACAATCGAAGACTCATCCCGACTCATCCACCTTTCCCTATCCCATTTGCCTTCACTCGCTCGTGTGGATTAGTCTCTTTAATCCATATATATATTTACAAGTGCCAACCGGGATAGCCACTTGTTTTTGATACCCAGCGGTCACATCATTTGAGATTGTGCCCCGCTTCGTCCATCCCACAATCATTTAACGACCTCTACACGGCTACTTTATTTCATCGTGATACCCCTGCGTTGTTCCGCCGATTTATTCAAAGATGGACGCCTCCGCCTCTTCTCTCCCCTACACCTGCAACACTTGCCTTGTTGCTTTCCGCGGCAGCGATGCACAGCGGGGGCACATGCGCACCGACTGGCAGTAAGTTTCTTCATATCACCGCTTGGTTAGCCTGCAGGAACTGATTCTGTCTGCCATAGCTTGTATAACATGAAGCGTCGGATTGCCTCCCTTCCCCCAGTGTCCCAGGAAACCTTCAACGAAAAGGTCCTCGTTGCCAAAGCCACCACCACTGCCGCGGCCGCCAAGGCATCGTTCGAGACGACCTGTGTCGCTTGCCAGAAGACCTTCTACAGCGAGAACTCCTACCAGAACCATATCAAGAGCTCCAAGCACAAGGCTCGCGAGGCCCGCATGAGCCGAGACAATGCCGACGAGTCGTCCTCCGTCATGAGCTCCACTTTCTCCCTGGGAGAACCCATCAACAAGCCCCGCGTCGGAGAGTCCGAGGTCAACAAGGTCGCCGAGACCCTCAAGGATGCTACCATCAAGGAGGAGAGCAATGAAGACGAGGAGATGTCTGATGATGGATTCTTTGCGTCTCGTTGTCTTTTCTGTCTGCAGAAGTCAGCCAATGTTGAAGAGAACACCGAGCACATGTTCAAGACTCACGGCATGTTCATCCCCGAGAAGGACTACCTCGTTGACCTTGAGGGTCTTCTCCGCTACCTGTGGCGCAAGATCAACGAAAACAGCGAATGTCTCTACTGCCATATGATCCGGAACACCCCCGAAGGCATCCGCACCCACATGAAGGACAAGGGCCACTGCATGATCGCATTCGAGTCCGAGGCCGAGCAGATCGAGATCGGCCAGTACTACGACTTCCGCAGCACCTACACAGATGACGAAGAGTGGGAGTCCACCGGCAGCGAGACACATGAGGAAGGAGGCGTCAAGGTTGACGGCGAAGACGAGGGATGGGAGACAGACGCCTCATCCATGGACGAGGATGAGGACGACCTCGACAACCGCAAGCGCGCGCCCGTCGTCTACGCCACCGACTACGAGCTGCATCTTCCCTCCGGCCGCAGCGTCGGCCACCGCTCCCTCGCCAAATACTACCGCCAGAACCTGCACAACTACCCCACCGCAGAGGAACGTGCCGAGCGCCAACTTGCCATCGAGAACGGCGAGATCGAGGAAGAGGAGCCGAAGCCTCGTGGCCGCAACCTCAACCGTGCGCTTATCACCCGTGCCAATGGCGGTACTGGTATGATTGGAGTGACCGACTCTCAGAAGAAGGAGGTGATGATCACCGAGCGCAAGGAGCGCCAGAGAGCCATGCGGCAAGAGCAGCGCTTCACGGCACGGGTCAACCGGCAAGCCAACCACCAGAAACACTTCAGAGTAAGTTTACCGCCCGAGGTTGTTCTAAATTTCATGATACTAATCAGATGGTATAGGATCCTCTCCTGCAATGATCTCATACATTTCGTCTTCTTGCATCGTATGTTGATGAGTCTATGAATCATTTCAGGCTGTTTGTTTCTTTGGGTTATTCTCTGCATTGCCGTGCTGCTGGCATCGTCTGTTTATGGAGTTGTGGTTGGGTCCATACACGTACTTTATGATAAAAGTAGGGTGAATAAATAGAGATGGTTTTTCTGGACATGCTATATACAGTAGATGCTTTGCCTAGTAGACCACTCCGTACTAGCGAAACCCTATCACGTAGAACCACACAGTCTACTAAAAGCCTTAAAATAATAATCAACTTATCATTCGAAACAGAAACCAAAAAATGGAAAAAGAAATTGCTGTGCATCATCCGTGAATCGAACACGGGCCTCATCGATGGCAACGATGAATTCTACCACTAGACCAATGATGCTAGTTGATATATTGTGCTGCGCACTAATGCTATATCATGAACCATACCACACAAGTATCGAACAACCATGACACACTTACATAGACTAGACTTGTTTTCATGATGCTTTGTATAACTATAGAAAACCCCCTAGTCCACAGACCTGTAAATGATCATCAGCTAATTCCATACATGAATAATTATTGATATAAGAACCACACTCCTTCCAGCACCTTTTCTCAACCTCCTTTCAGTAATGTAATACTCCCTACTAAACTACCCAGCGACGCAGATAATCAATCACGAGTGTTGTTATAGTACTACCCTGAATACAAAAGAGTGCCAGCAGCCCTGCCTACAAGGGATCAAAGAAAGTAGAACTCAGCACCCCTTACTACATACCACACATCAAATTGACGAACGCGTTCCAGGAACTACCTACCTACCTACCTACCGAGCCATCCATATCCATATCCATATACGACCAAGGATCATCCCTGTAGCTTTTTCTTATTTCTTCTTTGCCCATGAAGGCTATTTAGCCTTTTAGATATTACTACGTAGGTATATATTTAACGGATGGCATGGAAGGACAATATCATGTGTATGTGCAGGGTGAGGGGAAAGAGGGGGAGGATAGTAGTAATCGACTTCAAAAAGTCCAAGATGCACGGATGCCCTGATTTCTTATCGCTATCAAGGAAGAGTTCGCTATATTACATACTATTATGGATCATGTGTTCTGTGATCATGCACGGTCCGACTGGGTGGAATATTTTCTATATCATGGGACGAGTCATTGGGGCCTACCGTTTGTGAGTTTGGTTCGATATTTTTGGGGGTATGGTCGACATCGCTCCTGAGAGGTGGATAGAGGCATAGTTAGATCGTGCTGGATACCCCAATATTTTCTAAGTATACAAGCTGGACGGATAGTGAAATCTCCGTGATCTTTAGAAAGCAAGTAGGAGCAGAAGAAAGGGTTGGTGTTACATTTTATGCAAGGACTTATCAAGAGAATGCCATTCCTTAAAGATATACTGAACACAAATCACATCTACACCGCCAGACCCCTCAATGCAACGACAAGTGTCAAGCGACCATTTATTGGCACGCAGGGTCGGCTATGCTTGGGAAATGAATATATGGTGGAAAAGAAATACATCGGTTCCTCGGGAAGCATGTGCATCACACACGACCAGCTGGTCGGTCGCACCTGTGTACAGGCAAGAATTTTTTGCAACGTAACAACAACTATCCACACGTCGCCCCGTCGATCTGACCAGCAGAACACTCTGAGCGTCCGGAATTATCTTGGTTATTGCGACAGTAGAGGGGTATTTTCGCCCGACCCCCCGTTCTTCGGGCCTTGGCCGCGCTTTCTGCGACGACGGCGCCTTTTGTTTCCGGCGGACTGATTATTCCCCAGGTCGACGATCTCGCCCTCCTGGCGGACAGGGAACTCCGGATTTTCTCTCGATCCCGGTCGTTCAGATTCAGATGAGCTAGTGCTTGTGGTATGGAGCACGACCTTGCGGATGCCGTTGACATCGACCACCTGCTCCGTGATGCTACCACTGCGAGCCGGGCCTCGGTGGAGGTAACTGCCCGGCTTGAGATGCTCGGATTGCGAGTCGATGGACCGGGCACTGCCGGATCGACTGCCCGCTGACCGTGGGTGATCATCCTGTTCTTCATGGACCGGTTCTGGTATCGAAATTGGGAGACCATCCTTCGTTTGAGTACCGGCATCGGCCGGCGGATTGGAGTGGTTCATCGTGCCATATCCCGCACGTACCGCATACACCCCATCTCGGGCGTCCATACCGCTCTGTACAAGTCCGGCACCGATACCGCCCTGCAGGCCAATGGAGTTATGTCTAGGTTGCACATCGGACATGCTCTGGCTGGAATCAAGATCAGTCTGTCCGGACCGGGATGGCGAGACACTCCGTTTGATCTTCACATTCTGGTACCGAGTTTGGCGCGGTCGGCTGGCCAAGTTTGAGGGACCCAGGTGCTTCAGATGTTGTCTGATCTCATCCGTGGCCCCGCGATGCGTGAACAAGCCGTCTGTCGAGTCTGAATTCTTATCCGAGTGGGGCCGACGGAGCTGGAACCGGGGCAAGGGGGCTTCTACGGAAAGCCGGCGATGGTCCTTCGGGGCCCCATTGGGCGGAGCAGGAGATTCGTTGTCCACCTCGACTAGAGTGGTTTCAGCCGGAAGCATGGGGGGATCCTCGACAATCCGGCCCTTGGGAACGCGGGACTTGGGAGCAGGAGCCATGCGGCGGATGGCCTTGTGCACATCCACGAAGACATCAGACTCGTCAATAATTTCCCTACAGCGGTGTCAGCATTGTTCCGGCCCTTTCTGAGCTTGTCTAGTACGTACTTCCGATGAGCTCCTCAATCACATCTTCCAGGGTGACCACACCCAAGGCGCCACGATCTTCACTGGGATACTCCGACACCAACACCATGTGGGACTTGCCCTCTTGGAAGAAGTTGACAATATCCAGACAGCTAGTCTCCGGACGGGTCTCGGGAAGCGTGGCCAGAGCAAAGTCCCGCACGCGCTTGCAGTCTTCGGGGTCATAGGTGATCAGCATTTTGACCAACAGCATGCCGACGAAGTTCATCGGGTTATCCGGAGCGTGAATGGGAATACGCGAGTATCCCTGCGACAGAATCAGGTCCATCGTGTTTTCGTCTAGGATGGTGTCGGCCGACATGGTGAAGACGTCTTCCATCGGGGTCATGATGCTGCCCACTGCCTTGTCCTTGAGATCAAGAACAGCGCTGATGATGGTGACTTCATCCGAGTTGAGCTGTTCACCGGCTTCGCCCAAGGTTTTGTGCAGCGTCACCAGGGTCTTCAGACCGGCCTTCTTGTAGATGGTGCCGTGATCTTCGCCCAAAAGCTTATCGAGCAGCTTCGCGACCGGATAGGCGACGGGGGACATGAGGTACATGAGCGCTAGGACACACGGAGCCATCCAGGCACCAATAGGGAGACCGTAACGGACACATATCGATTGGGGGACAATTTCGCCGAAAATGACTAGACGCGACAGAGGGATTCATGGTAAGCAAGGATGCGAAAGGCCAAGGAAGAGGGATTTTTGGGCATACCAATCAAGACGGTACTGCCGAGCACCGCAGGCCAGCCACCGCCAAGTGAGCGGTCGAGCACAATTGGAAGCGTCTCGTTGGTGATCACATTACTGAGCAGCAGAGTGACGAGGACCCAGTGCTTTCCTCGCTGCAACAGCTTCAGAACACTTGCGGCATTTTTGCGTTCGGAGCCTTCACCGGAGGTCTGGATGACTTGTAGGTAGACTTCATCCTGTTAGGGGGAGAAAGGAAGACATCAGTGTCATTGCACATGAGCATGGGAAAAAAAAGAAAGGTTAAAGGTTATGAGGGAGAATGGGCGGGGGGTTTACCTGTCCCATCAAGGCGATGGTCAGACCGGCGAATGCACCGCCGCTGAGAACGAGGGCGGCGGCGACACCTAGGTACAGCCATAGACTGGGGTCACTGGGGGGTTTCGGGTCGACATCGGAGGTGACGACAAAAGTTGGGGCGGCGGAGATGACGGGCAGGTTGGCAACAGCCAAGAAGAAGAGCTTCGCTAAACCAAGGACGAGAGGCCGGGCGGCCAGGATACGCGTGGCAGGAGATATAGCCATCACCGAAGGGCAATGGAGAGAGGGGGGAAAGAAAAGAAAAAGACAAGAGAGGCCCGAAGGCTACCAGAGGGACATATTTGAGAGTAGAAGAACGAGGAGGAGAGAGAAAGGGTACGGAAGCAGGCTAGGCTGAATTGGGGGCGGGAAGCAGAAAGATGGAAACGACCAAGTTGGTGGTCGTACGTAGTAAAAAAGGTGGTGCTGCTTGCTGAGTGGCTGGCGGCGTAATCGGAACAATTGATCAGTGCGGGTGTTTGGCCACTGCGTGACGTCGCCTACTTTTTTATCACTTACAGTAGTGGTTTAGTAGTGGTAGCTTTAGCTTTAGTTTATGCTCTTCCATTAAATGAATCCTTCAGGATAGGATTCTTTATTACTGGCTCATTTTTCCTACTTATTTCCCTCAGCAGGTGGATTGAGGAGGGTAGTCTGACTTGATTGATAGGTAGGTGTCAAATAACTCACATCCAGCGTGATTATTATCCTCCCATCAATTGATTGCTACCGTGCACTGCTCACACCGAGAGTACACTAGCACAAGGCATGCATATCGGACAAGTCCACACCCGCTTCTAGTACTAATGATACTAAGCAATTAGTACCACTGCTCCATCAATTGCGACTGCGAAGGTCCTCAGTCCCTCCCGACGGATGATCCCGGAGCCTCGATCGGGCGCTTCCCGATGTCCAATGATATCAGCTGCTTATAGCTGAGGTAAGAGATGAGTCATCGGGATAGAGTGACCCGTCGAGACAGACTAACAGAGCTATAATGCATTGATATGAGTACGTACTGATTGTCGTCACCATCACTACAGTAGCAAAATTAATGATGCATACATGATAGCATTTCTACTCTGCTCGGTGGCCTGGATGGTGTAGTGGTGATCATTCTCACTGACACTAAAGAGGCATCTATTAGTAGAAGGCCCCATTTATGTCTCTAACAAAATATAGTAGACGAACTACTAATCCCACGTCCACTACAACTGATCGAATCAGAGAAAAGACAACGGGATACAAATCCAGAACCAGGGAGACATTAAAGAGACCGTACGGCATAGTCATTACTTATATCTCTGCCCGCTGTCTTTATATGTGATAGAAGATTTCTGTATACTCTATTTGCCTATACACGCGCCGTGGCGCTAGAGACGGAATTGTGATATTCTATAGTAATTTATATGGAAAGATACCGCCAGCATTCTAGCCATAGAAAGTCTGTATAGTCACCTAACAGTACCACCAGGGCTCGGCTGGACTATAATAGAGTTGCTTAATCAATCAATCTATCTATCTAGACTCTGCTCTTGAAAACCTACTACCTTGTCGCTGGCGTAGTTGTCCTGATACACAATGTCCGCTGATGTCCTCTAGCTTGTCCTCGTAGCTATCACAATGACCTCCATCAATCCCTACAAACAAGAACTACCGTAGTGTGGAAATTAGACATCGCTTTATAGACCAGCAGTCGCTGTAGAACTATAGAACTGACTGCCCGAGCAATACTATGAATCGTAGCTGCAAATTATTTCCATCCTTTCCGCTACCAGCAAACAGCGTGAGCCTGTACTCACTACTACACCACTACACCTAAACTTAGGCCAGAGACCAGTGAAAGCATGCCAGACCTAGAGGTGACAAGGCATCCTCTGTGAAGGTTACTAAAGTGAAGTTCTCGCGCGGCAGTCCCCTATACTCGAGCTGAATCTCCCGTTCGTAGTCCCGCCATTGCCTACGTCCGGTGGAAACTCCCTGAGCACTCCACGGCATCTTCCATAGATGTAGATTTGTAGACGCACGATCAAGCGGAATATAGCTTATACTTACTTACCTTCTAATGGAGATATCCGAGACTCAATTGCAGCGCCATGGCTTATAAATTCTGGCATCTCTCTCTGTTTTCTCCCACTTCAATCCATCTTCCTTCTTTTCCCCAAATCGTCACTTGTTTTCCCCCTGTATCGTGGTGGTGAGGTATTCCATTCACCTTCAGTAACGAAGCTGCTGCCCAGTCACCGTAGTAACACTCACTCCCAACAGCTTCATTCACTGGACGGTCAGTCTCCTGCCCCCCCAGGGTTCTCTGGCCTGCCCACCATGTCTTCCTCTTCCCCCCCTCCTCTTCCCTTCCTTCTCTTCCTCTTCCTCCTCCAACGAACTTTACCAAGATCGGATTCTTCTTACCTTCGTTGACACACACAGTGCTTAACAAAGCTTTTCGCAAGAATCAGCTGCTTCGTAACTTCGTTAACATCCTCAAGTGCTTCTTTTCAAGTACAGAACTTCGTTTCTAAACTTTTCTCTCCAAGGTTTGAGCTCCAAACCTACTACTATTAGACTCTCGTAAATAAGAAACTCACGCTGTGCAGCTAATCCCATGATGATGTCTCCCTCGGAACAGGTGGTGGTGTACGGAAGGACCCTGAACCCGGAGTACGAGTCCTTGGACATGCTTGACTACACTGCAGGACTCGACACCGTCTTTGCAGCTCTCATTCTCTTCTTTTTCGTTGCCGTAAACTGGCAGACCATCGCATCTACCATCTCGTTCGGAGCCAAGCTGCTTGCAGCCATTTTTTCTCCTCTCGAGTTCCTCGTGTCGCGCTTCGACGCGTTCAAGAGATGGATGGCCACCCGCCAGATGGAGCGTCGCGTTTCTGACCTCTGTAATTGGTACTTTCCTTCCCGTCGTCCCATTGCCATGGCCTTCTGGGTTTTTGCCACACTGGTCACGATCAACTGGACCTGTCAAGATCTTTTGGCTCCCAGCTACCATCTCTTGTATGGCGCCGTCGGTGGCATGGGACCCACAGGCTGGGATCACTGGGAATACTGTCTCAACCTTGATCGTGGTTCTCCCGCAGGACGGTGGTCCAACAGTCGGCGGCTCCAGGGATTCCATTGTGTCGGGGTAGACATTGGCGTGGAGTTGTTTTCTGTCTTGGAAGACCACATCCCAACGTTCAGCGTTGGAGATGATATCGAACATCTCCGTATCTTTCGCTTCGTCGGCTTCTTTTTCACTCTCGCCAGCATTATTGCTTTGGCTGTCATCGGCATCACTCAATCTTCTCTTTTCAAGGCTATTAAGATGCTTTGCTGGACACGTATCGAATCAAAGAACGGTCCTGAAGATGAGGTACAGCCCCAAGATACAGCGTTGCTCGAGCAAGTCAAACTTCTTTCGGCCAAGATTGGCACCTATGAAGCAATGCTGGAAGAGGTACGAGGCCAGCTGGCCGCAAAGACCGAGCAGGTGAACGGAATGGAGGAGCGTTCTGACGAACTCCGGTCGAAAAATCAGATGCTGGCTGCCCGTGACGAGAAAGCCAAGGCTGCCCAGCAAGAAGATCTGATAAATAAGCTTCGCCAAGAGCTAGACCGGGTTAATTGTCTACTTATCATGGCTAACGGAAGAGCGCGGGCGCATTACAAGTCTGACTCTCGGGAGCAGACTCTCGCCAATCGTGTCGCCGAGTTGGAGAAGCAACTAGCTATGAAGACTGAAGCGGATGCCAACTCTCGAGGCATTATTGAGTCGCTTCAAGCAGAGCTCCAGGTTCGGACCGAAGAGGCCAACGCCATCGCGAGCCGTCTCGTTACCGTCGAAGCTCAGAAACTCCGTGCTGCAGAGGAGGAAGTTCTCCGCAAGGATACAGAGATCCGTCAACTCCAGGAACGACTTCAAGTTCAGGAGGATCAGTCCTACGAGCGGGCGATGGAACTTAGCGCCGCCGAAGACCAGCTTACTAGCCAAGACGTTCTGATCCATGACTTGCAGGAACGAATCCGGGCTCAAGAGGCAACACCCCAGGTGCAGGCCACGGAACATCACGCCGCCGAAGAGCAGCTTTCTAGCCAAGCCGTTCTGATCCATGACCTGCAGGAACGAATCCGGGCCCAGGAGGCAGCACCCCAGGTGCAGGCCACGGAGGAACTTCACGCCGCCGAAAAAGTGCTGCAGATGAAGGTCGCGGAAATTCAAGACCTGGAAGGACAACTTCAGTTCTACCAGGCACAGTGCCAGATGCAAGCAGCATATCTCGGTGAAGCAGAAGAACAAGTCAATGGCCTGCGGGCCCAGCTCGGAGAATACCACTACGTAGTGGAACAACTGCATCTCAAGGAAGAGGAGCTCCGCATCTTGAAGGGCCAGCACGAAAAGCTGGAGGGAGAGGGTCGTGAAAAGCAGGAAGAACTAGATTATCTCTCTGTCCAGTACGACTCGTTGTTCGAGGATCATGTGGATCTTCAGACAAGGTTGGAGGGGGATGAGGCTGCCCAGGAAAATCTGGGTCTGCGGGTCGAGGTCAACGCGGTGAAGGCGTTCGCTGAAGAGAAGGTAAGGGAAGCCGAGGAGAGGATGATGGAGGCCGAGGCGGTCGCAAATGCCCTCCGGCAGGCCGACAGAGGACTGCGCGAGACAATGCAAGGCCTCAAGAAGGCCTACGATGATGAGGTGGAGAGATACGATGACGAGGTCGAGAAGGAACGTGCGGCTGCCAACGAGGCTCGGAAGCAGGTGAAGGGTCTGGCGGAGGAGCTCAAGGAGATGTCGCAGCAAGTCGGCATCGCCTTGAGGGATGCTCAGCGCTTCCAGGAGCAGAAGGAGGGCACCGAGGCGGAGATGGACAAGCTCGAGGGCGTCAATGACGTCCTTGAGCACCGTCTGAAGTATTGGGAGAGGAGTGAGAGTTCGCAAGAGATTCCCAAGCGCCGTACGGGCGACTTGGGGTCTCTTGCGACGGCCCTGGACTCGTCCAGGGTCGAAATCTCCAGGCAGCAGACGGAGATAAACCGTCTGCATGCCCTCCTCCGTCAAGCTCAGACGGAGTCCGCCGCCTCAGCCCCCTCTGCTCCCTCCGACCAGGCCCTTCAAGACAGCGTCAACCGCCTGCGCCAGGCCTTGGAGGCCGAGAAAAGACAGCGAACCGAGGAGCAGGTTCGCTGGGGCCGGCGGGTG